GCTACCTCTAAAGGATATTTTTACTTTAGCTGATCAAATGTATAATTTGATTTCTAGAACACTTAGCTCCTCTTGCTACATGGACATCTAATGACTTCTTTTGTGTAAGTTGCTGAATGCTCAAATAGTTCATTAAAACGTTGATGTATCTAATTTCAGTGCTTATTTTAACATGTGACCTGGAGGTAAATCTTTTGGAAACACCTTATATCCATACACATACCAGCTTTTAGGGTGGCTGCTCTGGCTTTCTGATTCCTGTTTCTTTATATGAAAAGCCTTTCTCTCTCTCTTTTCCTCTGTATTTCCCTATTGTTCCTTTCTGTCCCTTGGCTCTAGGATAACACAAGGTTGATTTTCATCCATTTTCATGCATTTCTTTAGGTACTTGGTAGATCAGGTCAAACTGGTTAACTATGTCTTTCATTTTTACTTTCTTTTTAAAAAATGAAATTAGTTTTTGAATGGTCTTTCACAGTTTTTGTTCAGAACACTGTTGTTCCCATTTATTCTATAATTTTTGTGTCCTCATTATCTTCTGTATAGATTTTCATTTGCATTTCTTCATCTTTGCCCTCCAGTTACTCCAAGTTATTCATTTGTTCTAGGGTTATGTTAATTCCTACAAATTCTTATGTGCCCTTTGAACAGTGACCTTTATACTTTTGTTATTATTTTATCAATACAGTTCTGTCTCTTCAGTCATTCCTCTGTACATTTTGCTGCCACTGAGGGGTTTTTTTTGGTGTGTGTGTGTGTTTAATATTTTCTCTGACCTGGCAATCTATCATTAGAATTTCATATTATTTGAGAAGCACCTAGTTACTCACAGTTACTATGTAAGCACAGTGTTATTTTTGTCCTGTAGGGTGTTCTGCTTCATCACTTCCTTGGTGATGCCATGTCAGCAGTTTCTTCTTGGGTTGTTCTGGTTCTCAAATGATGATTCATCTAGTATCCTATGATGAGGGGAGAGAACCTGGCATCTCTAGAACAACTGTGTAATCTTTTTTTCTTTCTCAAGTTTGCTTATTGTCTTCTGCCCTTACCCCTACTGTTTCAGCTTCTCTATAGAAATGTATAGTCCACTCTCAAATTATGGCAGTGACAATTGAGAATGAGGACTTTGGAGTATTTTTTTCTCCACAGACCTTCACCAATTTAATACATTTTATTTAAAGCATTTTTAAAATTGGACTTGGAATTTTAGGAGGTATTGGGTTAGATACATAAATATCTTCAGCAATCCGACTTGTGAATTCTTATTCTATGCTCCTTGTTGCAATAGAGCTTCATTTCAAAGCTTTATCATTACTGTCAAGCACCATAAGAAGGAAGCCAAGTTAAAATCACTGTGTCTAATTGGAAGCATCATCAGCAGAAATGTTTGAAATGGGATCAGTGGTGACAACCGAGGCTGGAGAAAGAAGACCCACCCAGAATACTCTTTGCTTAGAGTTCTACAGTCCGAGTTTGACCAACTATAGATAACCAGAAACTAGAGAGATTGATGGATCAGGGTACAATATAAAATGTCAGGACAAGCATCTCTATGACTTGTCGCTATTAATTTAGGCAGAGACTTCAGAGATTTGAATTCAGCTTAAACAAACTCATAGATGAACTATGTTAAGTCCCTGTTCAAATGCTTTAAAAAGGTAGGGATATTAGAAATCCTAAATATTTAAGAGACTGTATATACATATAGTTTTATATGACAGAGGAAGAATAACTAAGGTAAGAGTGAAATGCATCTTTATTCCTTAAGTAGGAAGTACCAAAGGGTTGATACAGAAAATGTCATCATAGGTCAAGCAGATTAAAGCATGAGAAAACAACAACAGTATTAACTGAAAAGATTTTCCAGGTGTGGAGTGTATACCAGCGTTGAAAATGTTTTCATATGTCCTATAATTTGATATTAATTTCTAATATAACCACTTTTGGGCATTAACTCTTTACAACTCCATGCTGTTTGAAAATGTATGGGCAGG